TTTTTTGCGTTTTTGCGTTTCTTTTTTCATCGCGATCATATATATGCGAGAATGCGTTGATTTGACACTAGTAACTAGTGTGATGTGTCTAGTCCTTTGTTTGTTGCAGACTGAATTCTATCAGTCAGGTTGTAATGTGGTCACCATTCTAGGTAGCTTGCCATCACGGTGAACATTGATTTGATGATATTAGATGGTTGGAGGCAATCGGCAGGAAGCCTTGGACCTAGGTTTCATGCTGGTTGGCACTCACCAACAAGGCGTATCTGCAATCTGCGATAATGTTTCCTATCCTTAAATATTTTTTTCAACAAATGGTTAGTTTCCATAAAAGCTGATGCTCTACAAACGCTGAATGAGCTTAATCCGTATTTCCAGTAGTTTAAACAAGTTTCATTCCCTTGTCAAAAACAGAGAACATTGTTATAGACTTACATGAAATATATAATATATTTCATATTAGTTACAGGATTTTATCATGCGCTGACATCAGTCAGAGAACCACTGGAAAATCTGAGAGCAATCGACAACTGCTTACTCCTAGTTTTGAACCCTTCAGTAGTACTCACACACCACAGGGGGTCGAAAACAGGACCTTCTGGTTACAGGGCCAGCGATCTCAAAGACCACTTAGCGGCTGAGATGGCACATGAGATACTCACTACCGACTGGCCCTACTCAGATAGATAGTTATCTGGGGTTCAAGTGGGAAGTCATCACCACTAGGGTACAGCATGTATGGGTGTAAGAACAAATACTCACCGATGACATTGACCAGTGGGAGCCCTACGTCGTCAATTGACAGAAGTTCGAATTCATGGACTGGCCATTGGATTGGGTCCCAGTGGCTTAATGGTCTACGAGATAACCGGTGTTGTAACCGGAAGGTCCTGTGTTCGAACCTCACTGAGGTGGGTGCGTACTACTGAAGAGTCACGAACTAGGACGAAACAGCTGGCTGTCCAGTACTCCCAGTTGGTTTCCCAATGGTCCTCTAACCGATGTCAGCTCATGATGAAATCCTTTAACCATTCAGTCAAATCCCTACAAAACAATACTTGAACATTTCACATTTTCAGATGAACGTCTAATGGATACTCAGCATAAACTATAAAGATTTATTTCAGGCTTACGCTTGGAGCTAGCTGAGATCAAGTTTTTTGCTTAATTTTATGTCTTAGTTTGTGTATGTTGAAATCTGGCCTTAATTCTGAAAACATCCGCTGAGTGTTAGAAGCACTTTCATTCATTCCTGTATAAGATAACAGTTTATAAAACAAAGCAGTTTAATTCACGATTAACAAGACATTTGTTATCTAAGACACTATGGTATTTCCGCGACCTCGTATTTCATTGAGTCTCATAACAAACCTTTAAATATGTCTCAAGAGAACCCATGAAACTCATCTTTCATTTTTCGATTCCTAAGAGGAAATTATTTGTAGAATAATATGAATTTACGTAAACTGCTTTGATAATTCATTAATAAGGACTTAATCATTATCAGAATTATATATCTGCACTGTTACTTGTGTAAAACAACAGACTTCACCCAGGAATGTAGTTTAACGAAGAGTTCAACCACTGTTATGCTTATTATGAAATTTCAGCACATAATATCGTGAGAAAATTGGACGTTCTGAAAGATTGATTATTTAATACTTCTTTACCGACTCAGTGTACAGCATATGCAGTAACATAGATCAGAAATGACTTCATTATAATTATAAGCAGGCGAAATTCCTCTATCACTAGGTCAGAGAATAAAAATTAACCAACTAGACTGTAGAAATGAGGCCAAATATTACTCCAAATAAATTCATATGATGATGGTTAGTAAGCTCATTTAAAATGCACAACAATGATGAGCCTCGTAGGACTCAATGACATAACATTAGCTATTCCACAGTAACCACTGAATGTGTCTGTTATGGTCCGTCCATAATGGTTAAGCAGAAATGCTTCTAAATGCAACAATTCTAAATATACGTCTTGATGAACAATGTCAATAAGAGCGGAAACGTAATTGGTAGGCTTTTGGTGGATTTCCTTCAACCATGCGACATCCTTTGTGATTATTAAACTGTAGTAGAAGTGTCAAAGGGAAAGGTAAAACTTTATGATTATGCAGTACATTAATTAATCCCATTTATTTGGTTACCGTACACTAAGAAATTCCCTAAGTCCTCCCTAGGCCTCTTTAACTTAATTTTGAACAGTAAATGGCAAGAGTCTCAATGGGAACATCATTACTCACTGGAAGTGGAGGTACATGCAACTGACTAGTCCGGAGTGGGACGAAATGAACATCCTAGATTTTACTGGTAGTCACTATCAAACAAATCAGATAAACGACTGTAATGAGAAATCGTAACCCTCTTATGTCTATAATGTTTGTTTTATCTCCACTCAAAACTTTTAAAATGAGCTCTTTATGAAAGGAATATTATTCCGTCAAGATATTTCAACTGAGAATGATCTCTTCTAAGATTTCTTCGCCAGCATGAATCCATTTCGGTGATAAGTGTAACAACATGGGTGTATTTAAAGTGAGTTTCAAACCTTTCGGTTGTACAACATCTCTTCATAATGGTTATAAATGAAAATATGTTTCATTACCGCAAATTTGGACTAGCATTTTGACGGTTTCTCTTAATTGAGACTATGTAAAAGCCATATCAGAAGAATAAATTCCAATGTGATGTCAAATCATTGCCCCATAAATTGTCAGCTTACACTACCAGCGATCAACAAATAGTATTCAGAAAAATATTAGAATTCGGGGGACTATAATTACCATCTTTGATACTAAGCTAAGCATCGATCATAAATTCACATGACTTGGAAAGCGAGAACTTAGTCTTTATACTGACCCTTGAGTAATTGCAGGTTTTATGTGTGGAAAGAATCTTCTTGAACATTAGGGCTAATGAAATGTAATTTCTGATACATTTAGGCAGCGTCATTGCTAAAATAAATTGCAATCCAGGTCCTAATAGTCCAACTTAGACTTTGTATGTATATATATGTATTATGTGGTTTGGAAAGTTCTAGACTAATATAAGAGCACTCTAACTGACACTGTTCAGTTTCAACAAGGGTGATACAAATATACTTATTCCTTATCATCCTCTAAATGCACAAAATACATTTATTTTCTGCAATGCGAAATTTCAAGACTACTAATATGGTTTCATTTGTCCGCCAAGCACACACGCGGCCAAGGTTCGATTTCCAGCAGAGGCACCCCTGAACCCAGCCTGGTCGATAGTTAGACCGGAAAAGAGAGAAGGTTGAATGCAAGTCTAGAAACTCACACAGCACCTTTACTGAAACTTTGAAGCTGAAGCTTGAAGCCCTATTTTCCACTCGGAAGGCGGGGGAATAAAAAACGTAGATGCTTGTCTTCACTCATTTTCATTTTATTTAACTTTCATCAGTTGTACAAGCTGTTGTGCACTTTAAATTTTGTTAGTTTCATACTCTGAAAGAAAATGTAAATTCATTTTGTGACAATGAGGTATGAAACCCAAGTTCCAACAAAAAAGGTCGAACTTTTTAACGGATCTAAGCAAGCAACAAATAAGATCTACTGGCAGCTCTCTGTAAGCACATCTTGTAGATACGGAGTATAAAGTTGATGTTAATAAATCATTTAAGGTTTTGCTTTATTTTGCTTTATTGGTTCATCTTCTACATACATCTGAGGCCATTAGAATCCTTTCCTCACTTAACCTCTATTTATAAGTTCACTAAATTATTCACTATGCCTTGAGCATTGTGAATGCTTGAATAAAACTCATTTTCACGAAATTTTACCGAACCTGTAACCGCAAAACTCATGGTGACCTGCTTAAATCATTGGGCTACCTAATTTCCAACATAGCACAATGAGTCAAATTCACTTAGTTCTACTTTGTTTTAACCGCCTATTTACATGCTTGAAGAGCAGTCTGTAGTCATATGCATTCTTGAATGGCTATCAAAGGACGAATACGTCAAGGGTAGAAGCATGTCGCAGATACAACAAAATGTCGTCAAATAGTATATTGTAGATTACTGTTTTACTGGAAGATTTTGAATACGGAGTAGATAATAGCTACCTGCAAATTCTATGCTGAATACAAACATTTTCTTGAGAACACAACTATTTTTCAAGTATTGTTTTGTGCGGATTCGACTGAATGGTTCAAGGATTTCATCATGAGCTGACATCAGTTAGAGGACCTTTGAGAAACCAACTGGGAGTACTGGACAGCCAGCTGTTTCGTCCTAGTTCGTGACTCTCCAGCAGTACGCACCCAACTCAGTGAGGTTCAAACACAGGACCTTCCGGTTAAAACACCGGTTATCTCGTAGACCATTAAGCCACTGGGACCCAATCCAATGGCCATTCCATGAATTCGAACTTCTGTCAATTGACGACGTAGGGCTCCCACTGGTCAATGTCATCGGTGAGTATTTGTTCTCACACCCACACATGCTGTACACTACTGGTGATGACTTCCCACTCAAACCCCAGGTAACTATCTATCTTAATAGGGCCAGTTGGTAGTGGGCATATGATTTGCCATTGCATCCGGTCTTAGTGATTTAATGGTCTTCGAGATCGCTGACCTAGTAACTAGAAGGTCCTGGGCTGGAACCCCTGTGGTGTGTGCGCACTACTGAAGGGTCCAAAACTAGGAATAAGCAGCTGTCTATCGCTTTCAGATTTTCCAGTGATTCTCTGACTGATATCAGCTCATGATGAAATTCTGTAAACAGCTGTTTTTATTTACTATCAATTTAGGCTGAAGAATTCTATTTTTGAAATATAATCTCTTCAGTGAACATGAAACATATTCAAAAGCCTGTTAAGACAATATGGCGTGTACTACTGAAGATTGAATCAAGTAGTTGCATCAGTATTGGTATGCGTGATTGTTGTGGCATTTGATTTGAACTTGTTTGTACCTCACGCTATTAATTATCAGTAATTAAATCCAAGTTACTGAGTAGGTTAATGAAACAAAATTCCAGGTATTTATTATTAGTTAATATTATTCTTAGTATTCTCATAAGAAAATCATTATTGAACAGGTCTAATAGACAAACTTTGTTCCAATGAAATTAATTAAGTGAAATTATTTACATTTTTCAAACAAAATTTTTCATATTCAAAAACTTCATTCATATCAGCATTCAACCTACAGTAAAAAGTAGTAGTCATAATACTAAATGCGTGATGTTTTATGTTGATACGTTTAATTACGTTAAGCAGACAACGTCAGATGTTGATGAAAATATATGATAAAATTGTAAAAAATATAAAAATATGATAAATTGCACGACTTCGTCAAATTTTACTTCATTAATTTCAAAGATATTATAAAAGCATTCCACGTCAAACTACTGAATATCTCTTTAGTAGTAAGTTTCAAATAAGTTATATTATCATTATTGTCTTCTTTGTTTTTATTTAGTTGGAAATGTACTTCTAACCGGTCCAGGACAACGTCTATGGTATAAGTGTAAGTCGTCCATTACACCATAACGGCAAGGCGGTAAAATATATGATCCATTCAATGGTAAAGGTATTCTGAAAAAGAAAATACAATACGTACCATAATATTTCGGTATTTAGACGGCGAAGTTAAATAAAGTATCATAGCCAAAGTCAACGTCTTTAAAAAGTTCACCTTCAATGCTATGAAATATCATTCCAAATCTAACTATGCCTGTCTTTTTGGACTGGAGAGGGTAGATACAGTATTACACTTTGTCTGTAGGTATTTCCTCTGCAAATCTATAGTGTTAGGTAGGGTTATAGCTTTTGAGATTAAGGTTAAAGGTCTAGGGTTAAGCTTAGGCTTAGGGTTAAAGTAAAGCCTAGGAGTTAGGATTATGGTTAGAGTTAGGAGTAGATTGGAGATTAGTGTCGTCAGGAAAAGCAATGGATCTTAAAGCACTTTGACCTATAGTCATCTGGATGAATAGGTATATCGCATATGATATGATTTCTCCATAGATCATGTGTGCATTGACTGATAGACATTCTTATAACAGATAAGCTACACCTATTCAATGTAAAACCGAGTTTGCAGTATATTTTCAGTGTATTTTTCAATGATTATGCTACTTTTCCTCATCTGAATTCTGATTGGTTGTTTAAGTTCATCGTGGTTTTGGTTATGATAGTTTAACTTTGCCATTTAAACTATTTTTGGTTTGCAATTTGTTATACCAATAGTATATGAGCTTTATTGAAGAAAGTAACATACTTAAAGGTGAATGATAATAAGGTCGAAAGCTGTCACTTCGGAATGTCTGAGACCTTCCTATTTACTTTCAGGTGTAATATCCATAACTAGGGAACTGAACAGGCTGTAAAGCTTAATGGAATCGACGTTATTATAAACTGTGAACGAGAAATGAACCTGAAAATTCAGGATTACTTGCCTTCAATCGCCTAATCTTAAAATACACTGTGATAACCAGTCGAGATGTTTCACAGTCAGTGCGTTCACACGGTTTTTAATCTTTACTCTACACTAATAGAAACCTGTTACACGTATTTGCAAAAATATTTTGCATACGATTTGCGTTCACCTATGAAATTTCTGCTATTCAATCTAGTTAATTTATTCAAAACATGACAGTTGTAAATGTCTTAATAGTTACTCACATTTCTGCTGTAGTCTATTTTAAACATTACGCCACCTGATGCATTTAAACGAAATAACCATCAAGTTTGATTTTTGGTAATTTCCTACGTAAATTATGTTTCCTAATTTGATCGCTTATATTGCAGTTTGAATAGTTAAAAAAAACCAAAGATTGTTACTGTTCAATAACAAAAAGCTTACACTAGAAAGTGACTTACTCTTCAACTGTGAACTGACGCTTTCCTTCCAATAATTCAAAACATCTTTTATCATTTGATGGGCAGACGCATGCACAGTCGGAAAAAGTGTGCATTATAAATTTCAATGGAGGTATGCATAGTCGATTACTACAGCTATTTTTTAATTTTGTTATCCACATGGTCGAAAAAATAATGAAAATACAAAAGTTATCAAGTTACCAAGATAATAGCTATTAGATTTTTTTCAAATGTTTATCATATGTTTATATTTTTAAAAAGTATTATTTTCAGAAGTTTTGATGTGGTTGTGTTCGCTGAGCTGGATAGTTAATTTGCGAAGCTTTCATTGCCCTACTAGGCAACATCTTCAGCGCATACTTCAATTATTGAAGTGAGCTTTTAGATTTGTCCACGAGTTTATTAGTCATCTCTCCTGGTGGGTGACATTGAACGTGATTGGTTGTTTTTGAGTGTTTTCAAAACTTCTAGGCTGTTTGTATTAGTATTGGTGTTGATTGTTTCCTTTAGTTAAACTTTGACCCTTTGTTTGTGAGATTTCCTTGTTATCGGTTGGTAAATTTTGTCTATCTCGATGCGTCTATTGATTGACGATTCATTGGAATACCAGGCTTCTAAAAATTCTCTAGCGTTCTTGGTGATTCCTCTGTCTAATATTTGAACGTTGTCCCAGTTGAGTTGATCTCCGTGGTTGTCTGTATGTAGTGATATGACGGAGTAGATGTCATGTCTTTTAACGGCTAGCTTATGATCATGGATACGAAGACGAAGGGGACGTCCACTTTGGCCAATATAGTGATTTTCGCAGTTGTTAAAATTTATTTTGTAGATGATGTTGGCTTTATCTTCTTTCCCTGGTTAGTCTTTTGGTTGACATAGAGTCAGCTGAGTGAAGTGATTTTGTTGGTTTGTGTGCGACGTCAATTCCTAAAGATTTGAAGAGTCTTGCAGTGATTTCTGATCCACTCCGTCATTTCACTACATACAGACAACTACGGACATCAATTCAACTGGGACAACCAACGTTCAAATATTAGACAGAGGAAACACCAAGAATGCTAGAGAATTTTTAGAAACCTGGTATTCCAATGAATCGTCAATCAATAGACACATTGACATAGACAAAATTTACCACTCGATAAGAAAGAAATGTCACACACATAGGGTTAAAGTTCAAGTCAAAGAAACAATCATCCAATACAAGTAGCCTAGAAGGTGTGAAAACACACAAAAACAACCAATCACTTTGAAGGTCACCAGGAGAGATGATTAATAAACTCGTGGACAAATCCAAAAGCTCACTTCAAATTGAAGTATGCGCTGAAGATGTTGCCTAGTAGGGCAATGAAAGCTTCGCAAGTAAACTATCCAGCTCAGAGAACACAACTACATCAAAATCATACACCTGAGCTACAAATCTTCTCTATCATTTCGAAAGTTTTTCCTGCAGTTTCATTTATTCAGAGAAATACGCTACCAACTTATTCTTAATAATAATAGAAATAATAAAGCTTTATTTCAGAGAATATGTGAACACATAATACAGAAATTTTCAGCGTATTTACTTCCAAAATATTTCCTCTTTGTACAGGATTTACATGTAAAGTAATCATTTGAATTATATCGTGTGACTTAGTGTTGTTGTATAGGAAGACAGAATCAATTCTGTAAGTTTTGCCTTCAAGAGCGTTTGAACAGCGTTTAGTTGGAAGCTCATTAGGTAAGCAAGCGAGTTCATGCTGCAATCATTTCATAATAATTCCATAATTTAAACAATAAGAATTGCAGAAGAGCTTAAGCCTTTTGATTTAACCAGGCCGCCAGTTGATCCATCAAGCATACTAGCTTTCTCAGTCAAATACAGTTTACTCAATCTGATACCTGACTCACTGAGTTTCAACGTAGAACACTACACAGAAGTGCACCAATTCAAATTACCACACTCTGTATAGTACACAAGAATACAGAAAATAAAAACTTTGAAAGACTTGTAGTAAGCAGAAATGAACGACAGAAAGAAAAACATGAGAATTTAATGGATATAACAGGTTGAAAAGAGTGGATCTATCTGTGCCACTGAGAGAGATTTTGAGCCATATCATCAGTAGTCTTCAGCTATTGCTTTATAATAAACTGACGACCCTAACCAGGCAGTCTATACCTCCCTACATGACTCAAATCGACTGTCAAAGTCTTCAGGGACTGATGCATGGTTTTGGTTTGACCATCTCTAACTCTTTTCCAACGTGATCCACCGTCAGTTAACATTGCTCGTTGAGGAAGGCGACTCCTTGACATGCGCAACAGGTGTCCTAGGCGTCTCAATCAATGTAGCGTCACAACTTCATCCAGTAACTTACCTTTCTTCCTTAACATTCTACGCCTAACCTCCATATTACACCACTTAAAATGGTAGATAGAACATAAGCAACTGTGGTCAAAGACAGGTAGCCTTTCCATATCTTCCACGTTCAGCGGCTATGTCTTACAGTTATAAAGGACAGAACGAACTGCTGCGCAGCACACACGTCCTTTAATAGATGACCGTAAATTGGCAAATGCTACACGGGCTTTTTATACTGATATCTATTGTTGATTTAAACACAGACAAAATGTAAATGTTTTAATTCTTATCCTACAAAAAATGAGTCATTACTTAGTTTTGATTACTAGATTGCAGAAACTTCACAATATCAAAATAGCTCTTTCGCGAAAATCACACTTCAAGGTAACTGAGAGTTGAACTAGAGAAAGTAATAATTTAGGATTTGAAATTACATTTGTATACCCTTTTCATTCTGAAAATAAGCAACCTACACACTTTATAAATGTATCCTTCAGAAAAACCTTGAAATGCACAAAACAGTGAATTGCACATTTCAAATGACCTAATTTTCAGGCAAGCACACATTATAAGAATCATAATTATGACTCAGCAGTAAGCATATGCTACTCATAAATTGGAAAAATACTTTATAACATTCAGCATATTGTGAGTCATCTAAATGAAAATACAAGTTAAAATAATAGACAAAGTGAATTGCATAACTTTTGTCTCAAAAAATAAATAAACAAATAAAAGCGTTTCTAAAGTGAATTGTGAGCTTGTTGTGTGACCAACATTTTTATGTGCTATGGAAACAGACAAACCTGTTTGAGACAATTTGAGTGAATTCACGAAATTTTATAATATAACATTGACTCTGAAATAACCTACCGTGGTTGACATCCACACTCAAGATGATTTGTTAATACAATCGATTCAGTCGAATGTTTGAAGTTTTCAAATGGTGCAATCTAAAAAAAAAATAAGTACAGGAAGAAAAAGAAGATTCTAAAAACAAAAACTGTCATATGCTTGTCAAACAATTCAGGAGTGAATATTCTCAGGATTTCTAATCATGTCACAACACTGACCGTAGTTTGTTAGTCCATTTTGTAGTGCGACTTCAAATTGAAGTATGCGCTGAAGATGTTGCCTAGTAGGGCAATGAAAGCTTCGCAAGTAAACTATCCAGCTCAGAGAACACAACTACATCAAAAAGTGTGATTGTCTCTTCTCAGTACTTCTTTTGAAGTACAAAAGAATGATATCTAGTGTGGATATTTCAGACCAAATCTGTGGTGACCCACCTATTAAAGTGATCGAGTTTCTTTATCATCAACCTCTGTTGGAATATCTACGGTAACTTTGATATAATTAAAACACATTACCCTAATGATGAGTAGCACTGAATTACAGGGATCATGTTCATTAGTTACTTGAAAGTGACAATCCTACAGAAGTTCGGGCGTAAGCCAGTATGCTGGATAGGTGACATAGCCAACTGTGTCTTTTGGATGATGAAGGTTCAAGCTCTCGAGAGATTATCGGCCGATTCCTTCGAAGTCGCGGAAATGCCTTACTGGAAAATGGCAATAAAAACGAAATCTATGTGCAGAGCTTCATCCTCCGCCTAACTTGGATCACGTTTTTATGTATAACCAACCTGTCAACAAGATTCACTCAAATTCTTGCAAGTAATGGTGTTTCACTAACACTGTAATTCATTATCAACCTTCTAGCTTCTTTTGGTTAATTGATTGTATCAAGTGACAATAATATGCATCTGAAACTTTCCTTGGGGAAATGGAGCAGTGGTGCAGACAGATTACACCTTAGGCAAACGTGAACAGCCCAAAACCTGAAATAACTCAGTCGTAGTCCTCGATTTTTTCCCCTGAGAATTCTGCAGGAAAAACAGATTTGTTTAAATTCACACATCCACCATTCTGATGGTTTCAAATATACAGGAATATTTTGTCTAAAGCTTTCTATTGATTGAATGGCAATATCCAAGTGTAGGATATAAGTTACTTGTTGTATAGAACGGTGTTATGTCACTTTATTTGGTGTCCACATTACATGCCTGATGAATAAATTTGGGGGAATAAATCCAGGAAACAGCTACTTTGTTTACAACATGAAGACCCATTCTTTAACAACTGCATTCCAATATGAAACTACAAAATGTAGTCTGTATGAATGTCCTCATTGCTTCAAGATTTGGGAAGAAGTGATGGGTAACTACAGTTGCTATCTTGAATTATTATTTAAAATTAATGTGTTTCACCAGTTCCGGACTCACTAGTCACCATGATCCAATAACAACACCCAGTTATCCTCAAGGGATCATCAGAGCGTCCGGACTAGAAGTCGACATGTCGACCGAGTATTTCAATTCATTAAAATCCACTAACAATAAATCCAAAATAGTGATGTAAATGAAACACTTTCACATTGGTTCTTTACTGTTCACGTCTGTTAATTTGTTTGTTATTTTCAAAAGCCGCTCAGATCTACACGTTAGGAGTTGAATCAATATACTTTATTATGGGCATTTTGCCCTATTTCGGGGCTCGTCCGCTGGATACATTTGTTATCCCCAGTTGGAATACCATCACTCAATGGAAATTGCGAGTACATCCAGATGAAAAGTACTAAAATAGGACGGAATGTGTATCTTAGATTCCACTGCTACTCACCATCTACCGGATAACATCATGGTAGTCCTCAGACATCATCGAATCGTCTGTAGTAATGGCCGACATGTTAACAAGGGACGAACATTTATATTCAGTATAATCAATCAACGTCAAATACAAAATTAACACATACCACCAAGATATTAACTATTATTATCCATTATTATTTAATTCCTAGAGGAACATAGGGCTTCAGCCACACGTCTACGTTGCGTTCGGTTCTCTGCCAATGTTTTCACCTGGCTCCACGTCTGCCCACATGCTTTCATCTCCTCTTCACATGACCTCCTCCATGTCACCCCCGCATTGACGACCAACTCGCCGCTTCCCATCCGGGTTCCACTCGAGCAATGGCCTGGCGTGTGATGTCACTTGATGGGTTTTTTCTCAAAGTATAGCCAATCCACCTACATTTCTTCCTGCAGACATTCCTGTTGCATAACTGGTTCATGCTGGGTTGGTTTGCTCCCAGAGATCCCTATTGCTGATCTTTTCTGGCCATCTGATCTTCAGTGAAGTACTGAGCGAAGACAGCTGTTGTTGAAGTTCTGTAGTTCGTACGAAGTGCTCTTCTTGATGCGCCAAGTATCTGATCCGTATAGTAGCACTGACTTCACATTGAAGATGAAAATCCGGATGTTATTTTCATTTTCATGCTGAGTGCTTCTGATCTCCTCCACACGGACTTGCTTTCCCGTTCCTCGCTTTGATATCCTCATCAATTCCATCCACCTGTAGTTGAAACGATGCTTCCCAGGTCAGTAGGTGAAGGAGGTTGCTTCTTTCAGGTTTCTCCTATTTATGCCGATTGTTGTCTGTTGTTGCTGCTATTGCCGTGTGCCAGGAATCTTAATGACCTCTGTCTTCTCTATGTTCACCTGAAGTGAAGTCCTATCTTTGATGCTTCTTCCTCTGTCAACTTGTTGCTGTTCACTTGTATATCTTCCAGTTTGTGGGAAATCAGACATATATCATCGGTGAAGTCCAGATCCTCCAAGTTTTTGTGTGGGTCCATTGGAAGATTAAAAAGGTGATCGTAAGAGTAAAGAAAGAAATCACCTTACTCCATAGACTTAATACAATTTGTATACTTTTAAAACTCATCTTAGTCACTGTCTTCAGAGAAGTATGTCGCATATAAACAAATCTGTTACATTATAAATAATTACCCTATATCTAATCATTTCTTCTTATTCCCTTTATTTTCTCTGTCTGTTTTCTATAAAAATAACTTTATAAACAAAGAAGGAAAAATCTCAGACAGCATTTTTCCATAAAATGATTCTTTTGCTGTATAAATATTTCTCTACTTTTATTAAGTAAACATTTCGTGACTGAAATACGAAAGTAATAAATTGACTTCAGGTGTAATATTATCACAAATCTGATTTGCAGTAGCAATTAGTAAAAATCTGTGATTGCGAATATAGGCTTTCTGATCTTTTTGTTTTCAGTTTAAACTTTTTCTCAGAAAAGAACAGCTGTCTAATATTCTTCAGTTTTAATCATGTTGAGGATAATTTTGTTTCGTGATATTTAACTTGAAACCATTGAAATTTGCTGAATGTGATTCACTCAAATTCGGATGAATCCAGATTATTTAAACGTGAACTCTAAGAGTAACGCGTTTCATCACTTTTGTAATTATTCTAGATTTCTAAAGTTAAATAGACTAAAAATATCATTCTACTCGCCAACCCACTCTATAACAATTACTAACTGTCAAGATTTCGGGAGTGTAAGAATTTGCATTAGTTCCACTGGATCGTTACCAGTTAAAGAATCATTGAAAATCCGGGTGTACAGGACAGCCCTTTCATCCTAGTCTGGGACACATATGACCCACCAAAGACTACCAGTTGATTAAATATTTGATACAAATGGTGATGTTGAATATGGTGCACAGTGTGCTTTAGTAATTCAGCGGCAGATTGCCCGTCAACCACTCACGCAGTCAAGTATTTGATCCCCTGACAACGTACACTTACACCGCGCTTAGCCGGTAGTAAGTTTAGCAAAGAAAGAAGGTTTGGCATGAAGCTAGCAACCCACCCCATAAAAAAAGACTCCACTGCCACTGAAACTCCAAAGCTCCAGCTTGAAGACTCACGTTCTACTCCAAACTCAAAGGAATGAGATAACAATAAATAAATGGCGCCAATTTACATCAGTCTACTGACTGATGTCAACATGCTTTATGCTTTTATGGATGTTCTACCTTTGGGTGAAGTTTAGGCCTTCATAATACTCATAATTGCCGGTGATTTCGTCAGTGAACTCCAGTAATCTAGGTTATATTACCATTTAAATGTTCAAAATTTCATCTAGACTTCAGTCAAACCTTTCCTAATGAATATAACATAAACTTCATATTCATTGAATCGATCAGTCTTATCTTAAAATTAAAATTATAATCTTTCTAATAGTTCCCTAAGCACACAAACACCAAAAAGGCTAGAAATATAAGACAAATACCTAAGAAATGTCATCTAGATGAAGTGTTTCTAAAATAAGTAAGCTTCGACTGAACGCCTTTTGCAATCCTAAACACCACAACACAGTGGAAAGGATATTACATAGAAGTAGTGTTAATTACCTGCATTACAGCAACAGCGTATGTTTTCAAAGAAACTTTTAAAGGAAGACATTCTTCTTCAAGTGTTTCACAGTTACATGATGCATGTTGATTTCTATCGTGTAATATTTCTAAATATTGATCATCATAACTAGTATGACTGTTCGATGATAGAGTTGGAATTGATGCAAATTCGTATTCTTCATCATCATTTGTTAACTGGTTGGAATAATAATTACATCGCGAAATCTCCGGTTGACCACAACGTTGAACATGTATACCACGAGGTATTATAAGCGCGGTATTATGATGTTGATGTTCTTGTTGATTATTATGATTAAGCCGGAGAAATGCTTCTGTACACAACGTCTGATTTTGTGGTTGACATGAGACCATTTTAAACTCTTGATAACTCTCAAAAGCCCTCTTCAATTCCTCTTCAGAATCTATGGTACAAAAAAAATAATTATTTAAATTTTAGCCCGATATAAGCTCTTTTTTATATGTTTTTAAAGCAGCGTTTCTAGAAACTTACTGTTGACAATGGTTAAACTAATCCATCGGAAATTTTGAATTCATAAGAAGTTTAATAAGAATTCAGTGGTACACACCACTTCATATGCTTAGGAAACACTTGTTATTCGAGGGTTAAGTATGTTTCAGGCCTTTACAACAATTTTTACTATCAGGTATTGAAGACTACATCACGCATAAACTTAACTAACTGACACTGGAGACCAAATGTGTACAGACGGGTTTAGTCGAGTGTCTTTAGGTGTATAGTGTACAGGTCTGGAAGGTATGATTGAAATTGAAACGAGATTTGATAGAGGTTACTTCCTTCACTTCTCTAGGAGGAACGGTTTCAACCACAGACGGAACAGATGAAGGTGTCAAAACCAGCTAAAACCGGAAAGGCAAGATACGCCTTCATCAAGCTGAAACCAGATTGGAAATCGTCTGCAATTACTCAGCACAAACAACAGGATTCGGATTTTTAACACAAAGGTAAAGTCAGTCAGTCAGCAATTCTTCTTTATGGGTCAGAAACTTGCACTGTGTGTCACGAAAAGAATTTCCAACAGGCTTCTGAAAACTTTTATCAACAGCTGCCCACTTCGCTGGTTCCATACTGAAGACCAAATGACCAACCAGCCAGAAGGAATTAGCAACAAGAAACTCTGACAACAAACCAACCAAGATAAAATCACACAGTGTTATAAAGTAATATTTACTGATGACGTTCCGAGCACAAATTATTGCTCATAATCATATCAAGGCACTCACACAAATTTCTAACTTCGTTTATATAATTCCATTATTTTTCATCGCTTGATCTGATTGGTAATAGTATTTTCCATATTTCCGGTATGAGTGATGAGTCACTTCTATTGCATGTGTTGGGTGTAGACTCGATGAACGAGGATTCAGTAATCAACCTTCCTCTTCGCCTACCCAGATTACTTTTTAGAATTTTAACCCTCTCCCACCACCCTATTGTATGGTTGTGTGTTAATGCATCAATACTAGTAATAATAACATAAATATGAAAGAATATAAGGCATCTACAGTTATACCATATAAGGAGGGGACATCTGAGAATCTACGTAGGATTCTCAATAAAGCAGGAATTAGAGTGGTATTCAAACCTACAAACTCACTCAGAGACAATCTCTGCAGGTTGAAGGACCCGGTGTACCGAGTTAAACAAAATAATATAATTTACAAAATACCTTATAGTGACTGTGAGGTAAACTACATAGGTCAAACTAGTAGGTCACAGGTAGTCAGATTGTCAGAACATAAGAATTTAGCTAAGGTAAGAATGGTTGACCTCGAAAAGATCAGTAATCTTGAAAAAAGCTCAGCAATAGCACTGCATGCATTAACACACAATCACACAATAGGGTGGTGGGAGAGGGTTAAAATTCTAAAAAGTAATCTGGGTAGGCGAAGAGGGAGGTTGATTACTGAATCCTCGTTCATCGAGTCTACACCCAACACATGCAATAGAAGTGACTCATCACTCATACCGGAAATATGGAAAATACTATTACCAATCAGATCAAGCGATGAAAAATAATGGAATTATATAAACGAAGTTAGAAATTTGTGTGAGTGCCTTGATATGGTTATGAGCAATAATTTGTGCTCGGAACGTCATCAGTAAATATTACTTTATAACACTGTGTGATTTTATCGAAATAAAATTTTATGCATAATGGAGTTATGCTCTACCGCAGTACCCAAGTTTTATCCTTATATCAATAAACCAACCAAGAGCCTATTTCTCAACAAATATGTAGGAGGAAATGGAGATGGATAGGACTCACACTGAGGAGACCGTCGAATAACATTGTGCGCAATACAGGCCACTACTCGAGTGGAATCCCAGTGGGAGGCGACGAGTGGGACGTCAGTACCAGGATGACACGGAGGAGATCGTGTGATGGGTAGGAGATGAGAGATTATGAGCAATGGTTGATACAGCTGAAGATGGTCAGCAGAAAACAGAACGAAGTGGAGATGTGTCGTTGAAGCCCTATATTCCACTCGGAACCCAAGGGAATAATAATAATATATTCATGATATTGAGGCCCTGATTACGCAGTCAGTAAATTAATTTGTTCGTGTGGATTGAAAATACATAGATTTATAGATCCACGTTAACGACTCAATCGAAAGTGGTAGACAGAGGTGATAAACCGAGTGGTTGTATGATAATTCATGATGCTTGAAACGTATTCTGAAACCAAATAGCTTAGTGTTTTCCAAGGTTTTATATTAGATAAGTTCAATCAATATATCAGCCTTACCGATCTGATTATAAGCAATAAATTTTAATCCTGACGTCATCCAATCATTAACACTACCACCGTGTTATCTAATACGGAATTATATTCTACCACAGTGGGCGAACTCTACTCTTACAATAGCTTTCCAGAACGTTTACCAGATTATCAGTGTTAACCTTACAAAGCAGCGAATAAGCATCGAACAGACGTGTATCATACAGTTTTAAAATTATGGTAATTTATATGTCTTTTGGAGAAATGTCCACCTTTTAACACCCTACTTCTTGCAACCACTTGATTTCTCATAATGTTATTCCATTCTAATTCATATCCCTTAAAAAATAAGTTTTCCCACCAGCCATTCAGCTATTAATTTTCACATAATTTGAAAGAGTAAACCAACAAGACTAATATGAAGGCATAACTTACAAGCATTATCGGTTTGATATCCTCCAGAGTCGGTTTTCACCTCATCTGTATGCGAATCTTTTGACATTTGCTTACCGTTTCGATTGAAAACATGCGAAAATTCTGTTTCAAGACTTGTTTTCAAAGTATTCTGTCCATCACTGCTACTGCTACTACCAGAAATAATTGCACGACCTTCACGACTATTTGCCTTTCTTAGCCTTAAACTGTCCGCGAAAATCCCACCACCGATTCCACCGGAAAACTGCATATCATACAAATTTGAAGATGAAGTTGAATCATGAGATTTCTGCTGATCTCCCAGTGACTGAAGATCTACACGTGAGTGAATCACATTATCATTGTAATCTAAAATTTTGCGATTGTCTCTCATATTATTCCTATTACTTTTAACACCTCCTTTGACTCCTCCTTTAGCACCGACAATAATTTTCTTAAAATCATAAAAACTCTGTACATTTTTGAATTGTTTTGCTTTTTCATTTGTTAGCTTAGTCGAAAAATGCCGTAGATAACGACGATATTCATCGAGACGTCGGTGTTCTTGTTTATAACGCAGTAACTTCAATTTTTGTTCACGTTGAATTTGTAGCTGTTGCATAAGTTTATAACGTTCCCATTCTAGTATCAAATTGAATGCCTGTGAAAATGTTTTTTTTTAATTTTTATAATTTGGGTTATTCACAAATAGAAAATGAGATAAAGGAGATTGTTTAATGATTTCTGAAATTAACTAAGTCTGTAATACACTAACAAACAGATTACCAGTAGCATCTAAACGATACCAGAAAATATAAATTCGTCTAAAACATAAGATACACACACTTCCATCTCCGTATGGATACACTGTGTTAAATTCATAAACACCTTTCATGGCTTTTCATGGAATTATTCATTAAAGAGTTGAAGTCATTCACGTAGACAAATGGGTAACATTTGCAATCTGATCACAAAGACTAAATTTATGACTTTTGGGTCTTGAACTGATAAAGATCAACGGAAGCTCAGAATGTGGATGTTTAAACAGACAGGTTTTCCTATGTGACATCCTTCGCTCCTAAACAGTGTGGATGGGAAACTTTTTTGACGGAAGCAAGTTAGACAGGAGACTACATTTACAACACCAACTTTGGATATTTTAGACAATGAATTTGCACTGAAAAATAACGTGTTTATAAAATTTTTATTTTATATTTATGCCAAATGAGTACTTTCCATCATAAATGATTACCCCAATGAATATTGATTTGGATTCATCGGACTGTTCCTTTGACATTTCTAGTTCTTTTCACATGTATAAAGGACTGGCGTCATCTGTTTACGAAGAAACATAATTTTCATTACGTAACGACATATCAGCTATTTGTGTGGTTATTCATATTCATCTCTGTCTGTTTCAGATTTCGTATAATTTTGATGCCTTAAAAATGCTCAGCATACTTTCACCTTTCTTATTAGTCAAATTAGTGTACGACACAAAATATGGGCTTACTTGGGCTTTAGAATACTGAAATGCTGTCTTTCATCAAACCCACACTGTTTAGAACTATTTTTTAAATTATAGCTTGATTCCACACCGTATTTTGGTACAGGTATGGAATTTTCAGCATGGATATTGGTAGCCTAAATTTACGGGCCGACCATAGATGTCGGGTGTGTGTTGGCAGGGGATCGAACCCTAGACGATGTGCATGGTCGGCGAGAGTCCTAAGCACTGTGCCACCGACGCAAATGTAAAGATAATACACTTGGCAAATACTTCTTTTACTGATTCAAACAAAAGCAAAAGGAGTAGTGCGTCGGTTGGTCAGTGGTTAGGACGCTCGCCAACCACGCACATCGTCTAGGGTTCGATCCCCTGCCAACGAACACCCGATATCTATGGTCGGCCTGCAAAATTTGCGCTACCGATATCCATGCTGAAAATTCCATACTTGTACTGAAAAGATGGTGTGGCATGAAGCTGTAATCAAAATATATAAAATATAAATTTATAGAAACTTTTCGACTTATCGCTTTTTATATTCCTCATAAGTTTGAGGGGAAATATCATAGTGGATGCCAGAGAGCAAAGAAGTCTAGAAACATAAATCAAATGACTGACCATGAATTGGATAGCACAAATTGTAAATTGAATGGTTATTTCTTCTGACTACATTTACAAGAGATGTAGATTTCTTGGAATATGAAAATGCTTAAAATTCCATTCCGTATTAAGTTGCTATTTGGAATATAGTGATTATAGTTGGTATTTAGATCATGGAATTATTGGGGATTTGGATTAATGTGATTACAGTTATTAGATTACATGATGAACCAGTATCACTCAGAGAGATCACTGAAAACTCAGGGTTTACTTGACAGTCATTTTGTTCTACACTGGGACTCTTCAGCAGGGATCGAACTCGGGATCTTGAAGTTACAACTTCATGCTTGTTAACCACTCATCCACTTGAGCGGGAATTCAGTAACCCATAAATCTAAGTATCAGTCTCCAACTCACAGATAGCTATTGGATAGATTTCTTGTGACTGTTGTGAAACGTTATAACCAGTGAGGCATTGATGAGGGTAATGCTATATCACGATTCAAAAGAGTTAGCATTTACGAGTGGTCGAATTCCTGTTCAGGTGAATGAATGAATAACAAGGTTGGTCTCGTAACCTGAAGGTTCCAAGTCCGGTCGCCGGTAGGACTGGTGGTGAAGAGTCCTAAAAGACAGGACGGAACAGCTATCTAGTGCTCCCTAGCTTCCAGTATTCTCTCTAACTGATGTTGGTTAGTGACGAAATCTAACAAGTGAAACCGCAATATTATTTTCAGTATTATTACTAATCTTTAAATTACTATTATAACCTGTGGATTCATGTCAACTGAGTGAAAACTCTATGTAAAATGTTATGTGACTGATGTTATCTGTGTTAGAAATATCCGAGCTCGCTTCCTTAACACAGGATATCACTAATGATATTCTTTCCAAGATATACTTCATCATGCTGGAAAATGTTTACTAAAAGCTGTCAAAATTACTGACAAAAACTATTGCAAACCCCTTCGGTAGTACATTCTTAGAACTTCAAATTAGCTGTAATAAAAAAATAACAAAAAATTGTTCTCTAACTGATATCAATCCATGGTCAGACTCAAAAAATCAATCTAATCCTTAAAAATCAAACTCTTGAAATCTTATCTGATACTCGTTAGTGATTTGCTACAGGACGGAGTTTCCTGAAGTTCTAGTGAGAAGTTGTGACCAATGAGATCTATCCAGTCGGGAGTGAGGATGAAGCTCCCGCCAATGACAATGGTTGGTGGTTGCGCTAAAATCATGAATTGGTAAGAGTTAGAATTCATGGGTTGGCTGTTGAGTCACGTCCCAGTGGCTGGGCGGTATTTGAACTTGCCTTGTAGGTCCTGGGTTCGACCCCTGCTGGTGGGTGCGTACTGCCGATGATCCCCAAACTTGGGTGAAACAGCTGGTTGTCCAGTACTCCCTGGTTTTCAGTGGTTCTCTAAGTGATATCAATCCGTGGTCAAAATCGAAAAAGGAATTTGACATGCCTCAAGAAAATGAGGCTATGAGGTAAACGGTCTTATGAATTCTGTTTATCTACAGCTGATATTTAAACGCTTTTTACTTTTTGGCAGTTAAATGAATTAGATAGGAAAACTATAAGGTAAATGGATTCAAAAGTGTGTAGTGTTTTCACTATCACTCTGCGTGTGCGCGCGTGCGCTAACGCTATTGACAGATAAACTATTTTTCCATCCGCTAAACATCTGCTTTATTCCTTTTGATATCTATATCGCTTCCATGCCTTTAAAGACAAAAAAATATCCAACTAATCAGTTGGTAGAATCGTCAATAGATACGTCATCTACTAAGAAAAAGAATTGAAGAAATGTCCTACCGAATCTTTTAGTAACCATTTGTGATTTTTGTTTTTCGATTCCGAAATGTAAAAAGTTCCAAAACGAAACACATTTAGGCTTCAAATATCATTGATGGGTGTTTTGTTTTAATTTTATGATAAAAGGAATCCAGTGAACAGCTGAATATAAACTTTAATTTGAAGAAATTAGTTCAGACGCATACATGCACATATATGTGTGTATATTGTGTAGATTGAACCTTAACAGTTGCCCCTTCACTCGGAATCTTTCACCTGGCTTTATTAAATTACTCAATGTAAAGCAGATGATAAGCAAATATTTTTAAATTTACCTTTTAAATGAAATTTAATTATCTATATTTTATGTTTTCAATATTAGCTTGTTTCTAGATATCTGAATAAGACGATCAAAAATGTACATAGTGCACCTGTTGAGACAGTTAGAAAAAGGAGAATGGCGAAGTTTATATAATGACTGAACGATCGCACCTACATACATACATAAATACATATTTTATTCCTTTACGTTCCTAGTGAAACATAGAGCTTCAAGCTAGGGCTTTGAAGTTTCAGTTGCAGTGACTTTTTTCATTTTCACGGGATGGGGTTCCTAGCCTCATGCCCAGCTTCCCCTCTTTACCAGTCTTATGACCGGCTTAATGAGGTAAAGGAGTGCGTCGACCAAAGATCGAACCAAAAACCAAATTCATTGTTGGCAGACATTCTACTTCTGCGCTACTGACGCATAGTAAGTTATCTTTAAAGTTTGACCGCTGATCTATATCACTATCTATATGGTTCGAACCCAGGAATTTCGGGTTACAAGGTAAGGTGGTAGACCAATCAGCCACTGGGACGATGGGGTATACGAACGGACTCGCTGAAAACAGATTCTTCCCTGAATTACCTCTTCCTTTATTTGTACTGAGAAAATATCGTAATACATTTTTTTTTTTAAATAGGAAGAAATCTTTCCTGAGATCATTAAACGTCAACTTTGAGTCATTGTAGACAACATCAACAATACCTTAAATGAGATTATTTGCATGGAAACTAAGAACAGCCAATCCTACCAACGACCAACAGAATACTTAATTTGAAAAGAAATCTCAATCTATATATGGCTTTTATACAGAAGCTCTACAACAGTAAAGTTGATGGGGTATAACAAAAGTGCACGTCTTTTCTGAAACCACACAAAACTCCTAAAATGATGCCTTTGTGTTATGGATACCATTCATTCGCTAAATTATACATATCATCTTACTGATCATAATGTTGCAAGGAGTCACTTCTAGTAGCTATTATGCCCTATGTTTACAGGTTTATAGTCTATCTCAAAATTTATTTTATTATCATCTGACTGTAGCTGGAATACTAACTCATATCAAAACGTAGGGAATAGCTATCACATCCTAGTTCGGGTTACTATGCACTGCACGTCTAACAATAAGAGATCAAACTCTGAACCATAATGTTTCGGGGGTGACTTATGCTTCATGAAGCCCCTCATTTCACAATCCAGTCACCCAAGATTATTATTCTCTGCCTATTCACAGTTTAATCCAACCAACATCTAATGCCAGTTATAAGTAATTTTCCTCGTGCTCAAAAACTTTGTGGTGACTGCCAATCATGAATTCATTTTAAGAAACAGCAGAATTCATTTCTTGACCAGTTAGAAATGAGCAACGAACCGATAATTAGATGCAAGTTTTGTGGGGACTCCATCAGTTAATGATTAAATCTGTTTTACGTATGGGCGCATAGATGAAACAAGTAGATAAGAAAATAGGCAGTTACATGGTGTAATTATTATTGAAGCAATGTATTATTATGTAAAACTCCACAATTAACAGAGATTTAAGCAGTCAATCATTTCATATTAGTTTGTTTATTAGATATATCACACAGTGAATGAAACAGTATTATTTACTGGATGACATTTCGAACAAAATTTATTGTTCATAATCATATCAGTTGTAATCAAACGACTTTGACAATTGAGTTTTATAGTTTTCTTTGTTTTCTCCTATTTGTCGTTAAGGTAGTAGAATTTTCCAGATATCTGGGTGGACAGGTGTTGAATCATTCCTATTACATGTATTTGCAGTTGATTCGATAAACAAAGCTTCTGTTATCAATCTCTCCCTATACCCTGTGACATTAGATTTTAAAACTGTCATCCTATCCCATCCTATTGTATGGTTGTGTGTAAGTGAATGTAGTGAGTGCTATAGCTGAACTATTCTCTAGATTTCTTATCTTATTCGGGTCAACCAATCTAGATTTTGCTAGGTTTTTAATTTCAGCTAGTCTGACTGCCCCTGTTCTACTAGTTTGACCTATGTATTTGACCTGACAATCATTGCAGGTAGGGTTTTGGATAAACTAAATTGTTTTGTTTTATTGGCTCCACGGGATTGATTCTTTAACCGACAAAGCTTGTTTCTAATTGAGTTTGTGGGTTTGAATGCCAGCCATTTTTATTCCTGTCTTGTTAAGAATTCTGCGTAAGGCTTCCGAGGTTCCTTCCTTGTATGGAATTACTACTGATGATTTAGATTCCTTATTGTTGGTGTCGTTATTAATATTATTATTATCATTATCGCTACTATCATTATTTATTTTATTTTTACATTTCCTTACATATTTCCTGACTAATTTATCCGGGTAATTATTAAGTTTAACTTAATAGGAATGATTCAACACCTGTCCAGCTGGATATCTGGAAAATTCTACTACCCCTACGACAAATAGAAGAAAACAAAAAAAACTATAAAACTCAAGTGTCAAAGTCGTGTGATCACCACTGATATGATCATGAACAATAAATTGTATTCGAAACGTCATCCAGTAAATAATACTGTTTCACTGTGTGTGATACATCTAATAAACAAATTAACATGGAATTACTTACTACCACAGTGCCCACAGTCAGTCATTTGCCAGAATTTAAGCCATTGTATTCTACTACTCAAAAAGCTTAAGAGTTGGCATTTTGAAAATCAAAAACTAAGTTAGATAATTGCCTTAATTTTACTTATCACCTATATTAGAAAGGTCTGCTTATTTTTTTTCCATAAATTCTACTTTACTGCACAAATGGAGTAAAGAGTAGGCATAATAGAACTAGTAAGTAATATAGACGTGTTTAGTTAACATACTCTAAATATATATATTATATTGATTAGAGTAGCCAAAGTCATATTACCTAGTCCCTGATGTCAAATAAATTCTGCCAACTAGTTTTACAGTGCACGGACAGGCAAACGACAGAAAGCTCTGGAACCAGGTTTAATGCTTGTAGACACTCGCCAGTTAGCTTGACTGACAGAATTCGGCAAGCACTAAGGGCCACAAAAAATCATGATGGCTCCGACATAATAAATATGTAATACATGCGTCGCAGTCACAATGGATATCTCACTGGCAACACTGCTAACACCTCTGACTAGCTGACAGGTGTTAGAATCTCTGGAGGAACATAAATTTCCTACGAGGCTGCAGATATGCCTTGCTAACAAGTACCGACAAGTACTGTCAACAAGTCTATCGACTGCCTCGCTGACTGCACATAAACTGAAGTGTCAAATATACAAAAGAAGTTATTTTATAATTCTTTCTACAATCAACCTACTGCTATTAAATCCATCGATGTTTGATTGTATCGCACAAACTGGAATACAAAGTTGAAGATATCGTTTTCGTTATTGCGATTTAGAAGAGGTTGATTCATTGACTTTTTTAAGTTTGGTGAGGTACTTAACCTCGCTGAGGATGGAGGTGTTAAATATGATAAGGATGGATACATAGCTGAACTTCTTCTTGGGTTATTTATTAACGGAGATAGAATATAATGCGCTACTGGAGATACTTGACGTCTGTCTCGTTCAAGCAATTTATCTATGTTAATATATTCGAGTGGATTATGTGAATATTCAGGTCCATCGTTCATATCCAAGTAATCCTCGTCCCAGTAACCCGTATCCACTGTACTAGGATCCAGATCAGATGACGAACTATGAAGATTGGGCTTTAGGTTTGTTACTTGTTCGTTGTCTAAGTGCGGCTTGGACATTTCCTAAAATTAATAAAACCATAATATAAACAGAAGGATAGTTTTTCATATTGGAAAGCATAGATAAGCAGATTGATAAAATTCACTCCATCTTCCAAATTGTAAACTGTGCCCGATACAGGCATTTTTAAACAAAACAAGTGGAAGGCAGATTATATTCGGCTAATTGCAAAACTGTAGGCATCTCACAAATGTACAGCAATACAGTTAAGCCTGCACTGCTTGAATTTACCCAAAACTTATCATTTTACTGTAAAGTGTATATATTTTTTAAACAATTACTGTATATTGTGCATAACAGTATCTGTGCAAAGCTGTTTTCTTCAAAACAATGTAGTATCTCATTAATAGGAATGATTTTAATGTTGACGTAACAAGGGGTACATCAACAAGTAATTGTGACCTTCATATATATTTCAGTTCAGCTGTTCACTACACACCTATGTACCAGGCTATGAGGTAAATTATGCTTATGAAGGCTTGCAATACTACCAAGTTCCCTTAGACTGAAGTGAACAAAGAAGATCCACTGTCTCAAAACTAGTGATGCATGATACTTATAAGCATGGAATCGATGCCTTCTAAAAAAATTCACACTCACATCACTCAGTACATGAATCAGTGTAATTAAAACTAACTATTAATTTCTAATTCAATCTTGACTTTCCTGTTGTTTGAATGGACCTAAACGTTCGGCCTCCATTGATATATCGGTTGCTTGTACGGATGCTTCGACGATGTCTGGGGATTAAATTGAAGTAATTTGGCGGTGTAGGTACATCCAGTGACGAGTGCCGAATGCGACAAAGTGTGCATCCTGGATACCAATGCTGTTCAGCATCCACCAGATTATTCTAATTAACATTAAGTTGTTCCTGTCTAATTGCATACAGTAGCCTGCTTAAATCTATGGGCTATTTAAATTTCTATCCAGTATCAAATGAACTCTACTTCATAGGGTTTTAAGTAATGATAGTATGCTTAATAAGTAAGGCATGAAATCCTAAACGTCCTAAATAAAAATGTGTGAATAAAACAAGGGAAGGGGAAAGTCACAGGATGTTTATAGGTGATATGTTCCTTCTATCGACCATCAAGGTTAACAGAGTAGCTGGAATAATTTCCTCCAGATGCGGAGGTCAGGTTTTATAGGAATGATTGCTAACACCCCCGTTGTTAATATAAAGCGCATTCCAGTTCCTCATGATAGGTTACTGGGAAGATAAAATACCACCACGAACGCCTACTGTGGTTTAATTTGACACCAGCTATCCACTAAATGGGGCAAAACTGTTCGGTTTATACACTTAAATTGATAAAAGCTTCACTGCTCATTGCTTAATGCGGGGGTTATTTCATCTGACAAGACCACTTTATCAATGTAATTGTTATTATGACTCATGAAATTTCAGACTGCTTGAAAACAATAATATTCATCATAAGATTTCATCCATGTATTTACGAATGCTTCAGGAAATTTTTCACATATCGTCTAATTTCATCTGATAAGCCAAGGACTTTCGGGAAGAAAGATAGTGTGAGAATCGAAGGATCTCCCTTCTGGAAAAACTTGGTGAAAAAAGTCAGTGATGACATTCACTGTCTCACATGATGTATTTGTTCAGCTTACTTATTTTTATTCCCTTGCATTCCAAGTGGAGAATAGGGCTTCGAGCTTCAGCTTCGAAGTTTCAGTAGCAGTGGTGTTTATTTCCTACGGCATGGAGTTGCTAGTCTGACGACCAACCTTCCATCTTTACTGGACTTACTACCGGCTAACTGAGACTTAGGAGTGAGTAGGCCGGAGATCGGACACTGGACCACATGGATGGTAGGCGAGTATTCTATCGCTGAACCACCAACACACTGTTTGGCTTATAGTCCCTCGGAAAATAAGATTTTTGAACTGTCTATGGTCTTATCAGAGAATTCATACTATTCATTCAGTTTTAATTCTATGCGGATTGTTGTTAAGTCTACGTTTGGCATGATAAGCCATGAAGTGTAGTTGAATGAATTACCTCTCCACGAGTAAATATTATCAATTTACTGAGATTATTTACAATTTCCCTTTGATTTATTTTATTGGAAGGAGTGTGTCACTTACACTGGGATACAGGTCCATTCAACTGGTGAATCCCAAATAAAACTTTTAGACACTATTAAATAAATAATATTAACAGTTTGCTTTGTCTCAAACTTAACTTAAACAGCATTTTACTTCTTTTCTAGTTGCTGAGGCTCATAAGCAGGTGGTTAACATAGTGTTCTCAAGTATCTACGACAAATTCATGCCTATGTACAGCTTGAAATTTGACTACTCATTGTCGGTAGTGCATCCATTTTATTAGCTAGACGTGGAATTTTACAATGGTCTAGTTAACTCATTCAAGTTGTCAAATCTAAAATCCACTTATATTCTGAATATATCAATGCAACCATATTGACTTCACCTGTACTTCAAAACGGACTGTTACTTTTCCCATTTATTTTGTAAAGAGGTTAGAAATAACTCCGTACGAAGTGAACGATGTTAACTTTGAATGACAAACATAAGTACACATCATTAAACGTAGCAACACAATTTTCCTCTTAGGCTTTTAAATTCAACTTAAATAAATAATGAGTACAACTCACACTTATTGTTAAAATACTTACAAAGAATAAGGATTTGACCTTTTTACAAGCACTTTGGAAGTACTATTCACATTTTCATGAAAACTGATAGAATTTGACACTGGACAAGTACGATAATCGTCTTATTCATATTACTGTTGTCAGATTGGTTGAACTAGGGGTTATTGATTGACAATCTTCTCTTCTACATAGGACATTCAGAAGACAAAGACCGCAAGGCAACATCATTTCATAAACTGTCTACAGTCGCCTTACAACTAGAATGGCTGGCCATAATAAGATGTTTAACAATCAATCAATAATATGAGATAAAAGTGCATATTAATAACAAGTTATAACCATCAAGGGGAGGCAAAATTTGTCAACTATATCAGTTGTAACGTGATTGTAGGGTAACTACGACGTGATTTCAGCCAATAATGTGTCTTGATAATTCCTTATTTTAGATCCATGGAAGAGACTAACTTTGTTGTTTTTTGTTTTTTTTTTACTTCGGCTATCTCCTACGGGAGGATGAGCCGGCTTCATGTACATCTTGAATCCGTTTGTAAGCTAGTTCATGAAGTTTCATGGGAATTTGGTACGAGTGATGTCCCCAGAATCGCTCGGCCTTTTGTTTGAGAGTGCAGCTCTAGCCTTTACACAACCAAGTGTGACCTACAAGGCAGTAGGAGTGGAGTAGGGAGTCCACTATCCATTGGAAGCCGGTGACCGGAGTTCGGTTCATACGCCTTTTTGAATGGGGCCAGACATCCAGGACATCCAACAAGCCCTTTGTCCATACGTCTGCCGGTGAGCTCCAGTGAGCTTCATACGCCAGTCGTTGGAGGTTTGGAATCAGGGTTTAGCCATCTCCCCTAGACTGTCATCCAATGGACAGTCAACCCGGTGAAGAGCGCCGGGCATCCGCTTTCGCCCTCTCACTTTGATGAAAGACACCTCCGCCACGTGAAGACAGTGAGTAGGACTTCCTCAGGAGAGGCTATGTAAGACGCCCGGTCATATGGGAGCATTTCAAGAGGTGTGCGGAGGGGTGGCCAACCCGCAGCGCAAGGCACCCACCCCCGACCATCCTGAGGCTTTGTTTCGGCCCTTCCGATTGAATTACTTACACAAAATCTAACTAGCTCGTTGTCCGACCCCTTTCAGGTTAATTTGCATCTCCCATTGATCGATTGCTGACCAGAAAATCTCGATTGGACAAGGGGTGGTCCTAGTAGATAATGCTTGAACGTTTGAAACAATGGGTGTTGGGTTCGAGTCTCAGTGAGAACATCACCAGTCACTAGGAATTCAGGCACTTCCAGTTAATGACTCCTAAAATAGATCGATATACGTACCCTGGATTCCACTGCTAGTCAACACCAACCAAAATAACATATGATATTTATGTTTGTCTTCATCTGCTTTCGTTTAAGTGTTTACATTGGGATTTTTGTTGCCTATGTGTTTGCTTGCTAAAGCTGAATCCAATTCTCTAAATTCTGTGGATGCTTCTTTCTAACTGCTGTTAGACCGCCGTCCTTTACTATGGACTGTTGTTAAAGACCCTTCCGGAAAAGCAGATTCTTGTTCTGAGAAAGATGTTGTTAGTGGGTTATTCAAATTTTAAATTTGTTTGCTTAAATTGTCAAAGGTGCTCATGTTATTTTTTGCTTAACATGAGAGTATAACAGTAGGTTCGTGAACAAAGTAAGTAAAACAGTTCCGACTAATTCATACACGAGTGCATCAGTGGTTGAGTGGTAGAATACTAGCCGAGCGGGGTTTAATTCCCGTCTGAAGCCCTCCTAAACACCGATTAACCGGTAACAAGCCAGACAAAGAGGGGAGGTTGGGTGCAAATCTAGCAACCCCACCCTCTTGAAAAATAAACATCACTGCTACTGAAACTTCAAGCCGATGCATGAAGCCCTATGATCCATTCGGGAACCAAAGGAATAAAAAAAGTATTCAAACATAGACATTAAAATTTGGACAGTTAAGAGTCGCCATTTCAGAAAACTAATGAGCAGTCAACCATGTTGGAAACAACGATTGGGCAAGCGTCTACAGGGTACTAATGAAGAATGTACCACCTCCAAATTCCCAAGAGGACTACTGAAGGTTATTCAAATCTTAACGAGGAATGTTTTGGAAATAACAGCTAAAGGTAGTAGGGAAGAAGAACTATCAGAAAAAACGTTTACTTAAATCGGAAACTTATAAGGAATTTCTTGATTCCATAACATTCTTATCACTGGACATATATAAAACTTGACTGACTTTGTCTCAAACCAGCAAGATAACAAAAATCACTTAGTCGTAGCTTGCATTCACTAGTGAATATATTATTTTGGTGATTTATCTGTCCTATAAGGTTTCAGGACCAGTTTGGAAATCTTCCGCAAATACTCAGCATAAACAACAAGATCCGGATTTTCAACACAAATGGGAAGTCAGTCAGTTAGTCACTTCTTCTGTATGGGTCAGAAACTTGGCCAGGGTGTCACGAAAAGCATTTCCAACAGGCTACTGCAGACGTTTACCAACAGCTTCCGACTTCGCTGGCTATATATTGAAGATCCAGTGACTAGCCAGCCGGCCAGCCAGAAAGAATTAACGACAAGAAACTCTGTCTGGGAACAAACCAACCAAGAGCCGATTGTTCAACAAATATGTAGGAGAAAATGGAAATGGATGGGGCTGACACTGAGGAGACCGTCGAATAACATCGCGCACAATACAGGCCGTTGCTCGAGTGAAAGGTGAATGGGAAGTAACGAATGGGTCGCCGGTAAGGGGATGATACGGAGGAGATCGTGTAGTGGGGACAAGATGAGAGATAATGAGCAATGGTGGACCCAGCTGGAGATGGTCAGCAGAGAATAGAACGAAAAGGAGATGTGTTGTTGCAGCCCTATATTCCACTCGGAACCCAATGGAAAAATAAATAATAATAATAAAGTTTCCGAATTCCCTCCTAGAGGCTTCATCATTTCTTTCTTGTTAAATAATATATGAATAAAACAGCTAGACTACAGATAAAATCTTCCCCAACAAAATTAAAGGCTTTGAATTTAATAAATCTACCAGAGAACCCACAAATCGAGGTTGAAATACTACCATATCAGGATATTATTTTTTCGATAGTGAGACACTGAGAAAGCTTCGGGATTTGGAAAACTGCTAATGAATAAATGAGTGGTGACTGAGAGTGAAATACAAATATGGGCAATGGCGTGATTCAAGTCAGCAGCTCCCTAACCCACCCCAAATTACTAGCCCGTAATCCGGAATACTTCCTAACCGGAAGTTCAATGAAAACATGTTCATTTAAGCCATTTTAAAAGGTGAATTACTTGACTGTTTTATTGACATGTGGGAAGAAATTCATTTCGTACGTTGTTTTGTTTGTATACTCCTCAGTGAAATAGTCATATTAGAAGTAAAACAGGGTGCTGAGTTGTATTGGTCTGTAAATCACTAGAATAAAAGCTTATGTCCTGAAATTACTATTCTGTTTTCCAGTATTCGTTGGAAAGAGGAACCACTTGTAACTAATAACATTTAAACCTTATGAAGTCAAAAATAAATTCACTTTCTGTAACACTGCCATGAATTGCATATATCCTGTGAATCTATTCAGACGAATAAATTGTTCTGAGTAAAAATCACATCACCGTTGAGTTAAACGTCGTGTTATGTGTGAAATTCGTTGAATGAGAGTTTAAAAAATTCCCTCAGGAAGCACATCATGTGGAAGTAAGTAGTGCAATAAGATAACAGAAGTATCTTAATAATTCTGTATCTAGTTGTCCAATTTTATCATTCTATTCTACCTTTGACATCGATGGAAGTATGAAGACACTTCTAGAGAAAGTGCATAGTGATGGGATTCATCTACTACCTCGACGGATACTCCTCAATTTCGTTTTACTGAGCGACAGTGTACAGGCTCACCAAAATGTCTTTAATCAGACAGTTAGCAGAGTTCGTAAGTGTGATGAGTGCTTAACTTCAGAGAAAAGTGAAGTGATTTCACCCCCATACCTACTGGATCTGATCCATAGATTCGTGCATCAAAGTAGTCATGCTATTAGAAAATCAGAGGCATATCCCAATGTCATCCAGTTGTAACTCCCTCGTGTTATAAATTTAGCTGTGAATGTTTGGGTTTACAAAAGCCTTCAAAGTCCCATTCTGGTTGGTGTTCGAACAATATAAATATCCCCTTTGACTTAGTAATACCCTTTATGATATCCTGTTCAGTAACATCAATTCATCCAGCCAGTGTTATACAAGTGACCTACATGCCATTTAGTCTTTGCCAACTCTGAGACTGGTTTCAATTACCAAGAATTAGTCAGCCCTTGAGAATATTGTATAATAAAGACTAGTTGTACATCCTGTAGTGATAAGGTTTGACAGATCACACAACAAGGTCACTAAATAAGTTGTCAATTAAAGTTCAGAATCTAAACCACTGTGATTATTCTGTAACTTATTTATTTCCTCTGACATCAAAGGTTAAAGCATTTGATGAACACTTGTCTGAGTCCACCTCATCAGAATGCTTGTGTGTTTTGCTTTCGTTTATTCTACTACAGTGTGGGTGCATATTATCCAGGGTATTTCTTGGTGTCTGTAACACATTAAGTTTACCTTTAAACAACTGAAAACTTCATGCACAAATGGAAAATATCCAATATTATATTTTGCAGAATTTTGTTAATGATTTGATCGGTGTTACTGCTTAGTACGATTCAAAAAATTTATTACAGTCAGTTGTAAAATACAGTGCTATTTTGAATTTAGGAATTATGAACTGATCAGTGTTTTAAGAACACGGAATTTTCTAGTCTTCTGTCGATAAGCGCTATACACCAAACGTCTGTGACGTCAGAAAAGTGTAAAGATATGTGTTACAGCCACCTTACAAACCACCTTGTCTATCTTGACATTTGTATTTGCAGATTACACAGTGACCACCACTTATTTTTTCACATCAAAGTATAAGAGAGATATTCACATTACAATGTAGCGTTACGACTTGATAACCTCGTATTTGTCCTAAGTTCACTAACCTTTATATGACAGGTGATGATCAATACAGTAAATCAGTAAACAGTATCTTTTATATGAAGTAAACTCACTTAAATAATCCGATGAGATTAATTAATTTGAGCACAAAATGAAATCAAGGCAAGCCTCGCCACGAATCAATATCAGTTAGATAACTGGTGAGAAACTGAAACGAAATGGGCAGCCGTTTCAGAAGTGCGCAGTTACCTAAGAACTTCAGGTTGCAAGGCCAGCACATTTACTACTCAGTTATTCGGCTGGAATCCAGTGACCTATGAATTCCGGCTTCTGTCACCCACGTGATATTGTACTTATCCAATGCCATCAGCAGGATTTGTCTTCACACTATACTTGACGGACCACAAAGGTCACGATTTCAAGTGCTGGGTTCATTGTAGACACTCGCTTCGTGACATGCAGGCCACAGGCCTGACCCATTATGTTGGACACTGGGTTCGAGCCTCAGTGGGAACATCATCACTCACTGAGAAATGCAGGTACATCCAGATGACGAGTCCCAAATGGGACGAAATGCGCATCCTGGATTCCACTGCTAGTCACCATCCACCAATTAAAAACTAAGGTAATCTTTTAAATTAATTCATCATTTACTAAAACCTTCAAATGGCTTGTTGAAAAGTGAGTTATATTACTAGTATTTACACTTTGAAGATATGCAATCAAAAGATATCCGTTATAACAACTTGTAACATTATAATCACTTACATCATAATTATTCTTTTGATTGTGCACCTTTCTCATAATTCTATTTTCAAACCAATCAGAACTCCAAGAATTTTTCATTGTATTGTGTTGTTGAACTGGTTGATGATTCATATTTGATGTGTTGGCAATATCCACCATTGAATAATTCCTAGGATAATTATTATCATATATTTTGGTAAATTCTTTGTTTTGTTTTTGTGCATAATTATTCGGTTCATATCTTAGGATATTTTGACCATTTACACTAGATGATATTTTGAATTGATCAATAATTTGTGGTATTATAATTGTTAGCAAGCATAAATAAATGAACATTGAAAATTGTTTAATCTGTATGTATTTATTAGCTAAACATTTAAACGTATCTTCTTTAGTAGTAAACATTGTCATTGTGGTTGCTTGCTTTTAGCGAATGTGCATGTTTTAATTAAATAATATTGGAAAGAATGTGTGTATTAGTGATTTCCGGTAGATTAAAAAAGAAAAAGAGTAAAGTAAGATGGTTAATCTTCTATGACATGAAAATTAAGTCTGCTTACTTGATTATTGACTTTAGAACAAAATTTTGTTTTGTTAGGCACACAGAAAATACGTAAATAAGTATCTTAGTAGTAAAAGATTTTTCATAACACTGAATACTATGTCCTATGATAAACAACAAAATCTGGTTTACTAGGGGTTTAGACCAATCACTGAACACTTATCACCGACCAATCAAATTGACATATGGATTATAATGTGACTGATTAATTGACGTCAGGAAAGCGTATTTAATTTTTTCGAATTCCCGTTCACCTTATAATCATACAAAATTATGAAGAATATTCAGAACTACTTTCAGTGTTCCTATCAGAACTAAAACAGGCACCTTTTAGAGTGCTCTGATAAAGTATTTTGATTAGAAATTAAATAGTCTACATTTATTTAATGGGTTATTTTTGTCAAAACGAAACGAAACAAATTTCTAGTAACGGTTTCGTAGTTCCTCCTTCTTCCGGAAATTGTACTCAATATAATATGTCGTAAGAAGTGTGAAGTCGCTCGGTCGGTTTTCGACATAAAACTTTGCACATATGTGCGGCAGTTCAAGTCACCACACTCTATGTTGCACACAAAGCAAGAGAAGAAAGTAGAAGAAATGCATATTAGAGACAGTAAACAGAGGTGTGAAACAAAGGAATAGTAATAACGGAGAACAAAAGTTTAATTGGAAATCATGAGTCACAAGGAGTGGATGCATCTGCGCCACTGAGAACGATTTTGAGCCATGTCACCAATTGTTCCAACCATTGGTTTTTACCATCCAGAGGACCCCAACCAGCCAGGATGTCTACACCTTCCTACGTGGCTTAGACTAACTGTTGTGGATTTTATTGACTGGTGCCATGTTTTCGTTTGACCGCCGCTAGCTCTTTTCCAGCCTGACCCTATATCAGCTAACATTGCCCGACGAGGAAGGCGATGACTAGGCATACGTAACACATGTCCTAACTATCTCAGTCGATGTAATTTCACAGTCTCGTCGACTGATTTCCCCGCCTTACCTAGAACTCGACGCCTAACCTCAATATTGCTCACCTTATTATACCACTTCACACGGGAGATAGAAGGCAGCCACCTATGATCGAAGACAGATAATCTTTTCATGTCTTCCACTCTCAATGGCCAGGTCTCACAGCCATAAAGGAGGACGGAGCGGACTGTTGAGCAATACACACGCCCTTTGTTCAATAGTCGGATATCGCGTCTACTCCAGAGACGGAGTAAACTGGCATATGTGAACCTAGCCCTCTGTATTCGTGCTGAGATTTCGTCGGAGATCAACCCGTTGGGGCTGATGGTACTTCCCAAGTAAGTGAAGCGGTACAATCGATAAAGTACTTTTGTGTTTAGAAGACTTAGTCAGATTGAACTGAATTGAATTTCCAAACGTAGAACTCTACACAAGTGTGCAGCAGATGAAGCCGCTATGCTTCATAAAAGTGTATACAAAGGTAGAGGTTCAAAATGCAATGAAACAAAAATAAACACAAGTGTGTAGGAGAAAGATTTACTGAATTGTGGAGATAACAAGGTGCTAGGTGGTTGGATTCATTTATCAAGAAGCCTTTGACCTATGTTTCGTGCTTATTGTCACTTGTCATATCTGCAATATTGTAGGTACTCATATCCTTTCTGAGATTCGAACCCGAGTCACCCAGTGCTGACAAGTTCCAACAAGGCTTCTTGTCAGTTGCCTCTAACCATCTAACAAGAATTCGGTGTGCACCGTTATGGCAATTCACCTAGCATGGTGGCCACATTGCAACCTTGACTGATAGAATTCAGTCTGCATAAAATGAAGGACTAAAATCGTGGTTTTAATGCATCTGTATAAGTAAAGACGACTTTGAGCTATGTCAGCAACAATCTCCAACCACTGATTCTTAGCATCCCAAAGACCCCAGCCAGGTAGTCCACATCCCACTACATCGCTCATTCTAACAACCCAAGACGTCATAGATTGGTGCTATGTTTTGTTCTTACCACCCCTAACTCACTTTCAAGCTAATCTTGAATCAGCTAAATTTGCTAGTCAAGGAAGACGGTGGCTTGACATACGTATCAAGTGTTCTACTCATCTGAACATAGACAGATTCACAGCTTCGTTGGTTGGTTGACTTGCTAACCTCAGTATTGCTTGTCATATTACACCACTTGGTACGAGAAGTCGAATGTAAACATCTGTGTTCCAAGACGGTTAGCCTGTTTATATCTTCCGCTTCCAACACCCTTAACGAACAGTGGTGAAGGGGAATGAAGTTAATTGTTGCACATTATAGGCGTCATTTAATCAATAGTCAGTTAGTGAGTCTGCTTCAAAGATGACACAAGCTGACAAATGCAAGTACTTAACGTAATGACATTCGATTTTGAAGTAAAGCCTTAAATATAGATTACAGCCTACGAGTCAGATATATCAGTCCTACTACACTGTTAATGAAGTCATATGAAGCTTAGTTAAGGTCTTAATAGCCAAGGCTTAAATTTTCTCATTTGACTACTGAGAAAAGTTGGTTCACCTTTTAAAAGGAGAATTATTATGATAAACTTTTATAACGGAGGTAAATGGATGTAAACAAAATAAGAAAAGAGAAGCAAATAAGTCATATCAGTTGTAAACATAAAGGAAAGTAGGCAGTGTGAGTAAGCCAGAGAAATATTTACCGATGTCTTTGTGAATGTACATGTTAGATTTCAAATAATAAGTAGTTATCGATTTGGAAAAACAAAGAAAAGCTGAATTCCTTTATTGATCCGTTAATTTGATGAGTATATTCATCTGCAATGTGTTTTGAGCTTCTTAAATACTATATACTAAACTTCCCCGTTTTCTAGCTATATACATGATAAATATCACTCAACTGAAGTGAAAGGATTATGTAACTGACAGCCGGGTTTCGTAGCTCAGTTAACATAGCCTAAGGCTAGTTAATAAGAGGCCTTATATGATGAAATAAGAATAAAACTTGTGCATTGCGGTAAAGTATAATTCCATTATGGGTAAAATTTATTGTGCTCGAAACGTCATCAGTAAATATTACTGTATAACACTGTAACTCATGTGATGAAGTTAATTACGGTTTTATTGAAACACCTGTGAGTCGGTAGTTCGGCGGTGGAACGCTCTCCAGCTACGCCTCACGTCGTTCGGGGTTCGGTCCTCGGCCGGCTCACTCCTTAACCTCACTAAGCCGGTAGTAAGGCCGGTAAAGAGGGAAGGTTAGGCGTGAGGTTAGCAAGCCTACCCCCTTAAAATATAACCACTACCCCCGGAACTTCACATATGAAGCTTGAATTCCTATGTTCTACTAGGAACGCAAAGGAATATTACTGTTGAAACACCGCTTCGTTACTGCTGTTGGATTTTTATCGTTTCTTATATAACTTATCTGGATCAGTACTTTCAACTGACGTTTAATTTCCTTATTGCTACAAATTTTATTTATGATAACTCCTTACTTAGCATTTTGATGGGAGATACTTTCGGATTGTTTCAAGTAGTATTCATTTCCAAACTTTTTGATACTGCAAATTGAAAAACTATGAACTTTTAACAACTTACAGTTCTGAATTTCAACTATCAAGCATATTTCAAACGATAAAATGTGTGTTTCGTCGTATAGAATATTTGTTATTCGAGTGTGCGCTAAAGGACAGAAGGTTCTCTTTACATTAAGAGTAACCAATATTCTCACCAATACAGTGATAACAAGTACTATTTTCTGAAGAAATATTGTGCTAATCCACATCTTGTTCATCTTTTCATGGTCAAATCAGTGTTCACTTCAGCTAAATGAACGAGTGAATAAGATATTCAGGCTGGCTGATAATATTAACGATTTTCAGAAACATTTTGTTGGGAAAGAGCTTTCGAAATTGAAATTCTTAATCACATGTATGCTAAAAGAAGAGCCAGTGGGTACCAGTCACCATCAATGGGAGAGATTTAACAGAGGTTGCCTCCTTCACTTATCTAGGCAGTCAGCGTCGTTTCAACTAAAGGTGGAACGGAAGAAGATGTCAAAGTCAGAATCGGAAAGGCAAGATACGCCTTCATCAAGCTGAAACCAGTCTGGGAATCTTTTGCACTAACTCAACATAAGGAACAAGATCCAGATTTTCAACATCAGTGTGAAGTTGGTTCTTCTACACGGGTCAGAAACTTGCACTGCGTGTCACGAAAACGATTTCCAATAGGTTGCAGACTTTCATCAACATTTACCTTCGCTCCATACTGAATATCAAATGGCCAGAAAGAATAAGTTACAAGAAACTCTGGGAACAAACCAACTAAGAGCCGATCGCTCAACAAATATGTAGGAGAAAATAGAGATGGATCGCACATACATTGAGGAGGCCGTCGAATGACATCGTGCTCAATGCAGGCCATTGATCGAGTGGAATCCAAATGGGAAGCGACGAGTGGGTCATCGGTGAGAGGGTGACATGAAGGAGATCGTGTAATGGTCGGGAGATGATATATGATGGGCAGTCGTGGAGCTAGCCAGCTGAAGAGGATAGCAGAAAATAGAACGAAGTGGAGATGTATTGTTGAAGTCGTATGTTCCACTCGGAACGCAAGGCAATAGTAACAATAATGAAACCTAAGAATTTCGTTCGCTTATATTCATCTGTGTGAGGCAACTATCTATCGTAACTATCGCACAGTTGTTACAAAAAGTAAGATGAATTTATTTTCATGCACTCTACCTGTAACACAAGATATTTTCTGATCAAACTTCATTCTGTATTGTTTTATCACAATCGATTCGTATAGTCTGATCCTCTAACTTATGATCAATCCATAGTGGAACTTGAAACATTATTATATGTGTAAAACTTGGGCACTGTGGTAGTAAGTAATTCCATATTAGTTTGTTTATTAGGTATATCACACAGTGAAACAGTATAATTATTTATTGGATGACAAAGTTTCGAACAAAATTTATTGTTCATAATCATATCAATTGTGATCACACGACTTTGACACTTGAGTTTCATAGTTTTCTTTGTTCTCTCCTATTTGTCGTCGTTGGGGTAGTAGAATTTTCCAGATATCCAGCTGGACAGGTGTTGA